ACTACATAATCAACTGACAACAAATTGAATCCAGCTGAAATTAGTAACTCTGAATGAAAGGAAGAGAGAGGTAGTATCAGGAATGATCCACGTGCCAGTAAGTCACCTGCTTGCTAAGTGAGTTTGTTATAAGAAGTATGCTTATGTCACCTAAGACTTCATAACAACTTACTTGGACAAATCACTAAAATCTCTAGGTTTTTTTGTTTTGTTTTGTTTTTCTATATAATAGGGCTAATGCTGTACCCTGGTTCCTCACAAAGTCATGAGGATTGAGAAAAAAAATCTCTGTAAACAATGGAATTCTATGCAGCCATGAAGAAGAACAAAATGTTATCATTCGCTGGTAAATAGATGGAATTGGAGAACATCATTCTGAGTGAGGTTAGCCTGGCCCAAAAGACCAAAAATGGTATGTTCACCCTCATATGCCGACATTAGATCAAGGGCAAACACAACAAGGGGATTGGACTTTGAGCACATGATAAAAGTGAGAGCACACAAGTGAGGGGTGAGGATAGGTAAGACACCTAAAAAACTAGATAGCATTTGTTGCCCTTAACGCAGAGAAACTAAAGCAGATACCTTAAAGCAATTGAGGCCAATAGGAAAAGGGGAACAGGTACTAGAGAAAAGGTTAGATCAAAAAGAATTAACCTAGAAGGTAACACCCACGCACAGGAAATCAATGTGTGTCAATGCCCTGTATAGCTATCCTTATCTCAACCAGCAAAAACCCTTGTTCCTCCCTATTATTGCTTATACTCTCTCTACAACAAAATTAGAGATAAGGGCAAAATAGTTTCTGCTGGGTATTGAGGGGGGGGGAAGGGGTGGAGTGGGTGGTAAGGGAGGGGGTGGGGGCAGGGGGGAGAAATGAACCAAGCCTTGTATGCACATATGAATAATAAAAGAAAAAGGAAAAAAAAATCTCTGTAAAAAGCCCACTACAGTACAATTACGGCTGGCACATAACTGCTATGGTTAGAAAGCTTATTACTAATAAATGTAAGTCATTCCTGTCAGGAGCAACCCTTTAGACTTTCAACATGCAATAAACTAAAGACTAGCCCTCAAACACTGAAATTCTTAGAACTTCTCTAAGTGGTTTTACTGAAGATTTCAAATCACCTCAATTTCCAAACCCATTAAAACCTCCAGGTCCATTTACAGCTGTGTCATTCTTCAAGACAGATTACCTAGTAACCTAGCTTCTGATACTGGAATAACAGGAAGAGTGTCAGGACAGTGCTTCATACCACCAACCTCAAAATAACTGCTTCATAATACCTGACCTTTCCTTAACCTCCATGGCAGTACCATCTGTCAGGGGGATAGGACAAGAGCCTCGTTCCTGGCCGGGGTCCACCGTTTGCCTATAAACTGCTTAGTCTTTCCTGCCTCCTCTTACTTTCTTTGCTCTTTCTATATGACTACCTCTCCTTTGAGTTACATTCATAGGATATTCGCTACTGGATTGCTCTAAGAACTGCATCCCAGCACTGTGAGAAAAAAGCTATAGGAATATACCCAAGAAAAGAAATGTTCTGTGAGTATCTGAAGCAATTAGCCAAGGCAAAGAAAATGTGGCATCTCTCTCTGGCCGGAAAGATCCAGATAATCCTGGGAGCCAAATTTACTTATTTCCTGTGTATACATGAAGGACAAACTTAAGCCAAGCACAGAAATACTCAAATATGTTAGTCATGTACAGCTTAGGAAGCACATTACAACTTAAAGTTTATACAAACAAGAGCTTTTTTTCCCTCACATGAGGTAGGAAAAAGGAGGGGGGAAAGGGAATTTAAAAATATTTAATTTTTAATATTTAAGGGTATTTAAAAAAATGAAAAACTTCTCTTTTTACCTTGGCAAAAAAACAGCAAGCTAGGTCTTTTCATCTTACCCTTCCTGTTTCAACTCAAGACTCAAATTCAAGAAGTGTCAACAATTTCTATCAAAATCAAGTATTATGAAACACACAAATTTTTTAATGGTACTTTTTTTTTTTTTTTTTGGCAGTACCAGGGTTTGAACTCAGGGCCTTCACCTTGGGCCACTCCACCAGCCCATATTTTTGTAATAGGGTTTTGCAAGATAGGGTCTTGAGAATTATTTGCCCAGGCTGGCTTCGAACCTGATCCTCCTGATCTCTGCCTCCCAAGTAGCCAGGATTGCAGGCATGACCTACAGGCACCTGGCAGTACTGGGGTTTGAATTCAGGGCCTTACACTTGCTAGGCAAGCCCCCTCCCCCTTCTTTTTTTTGGGAAGGTACCAGGGTTTGAACTCAGGGCCTCTTGATTGCTAGGAAGACCTCTAACCATTCTCAGCCATGCCCCCCAGCCCCAGAAACCTTTATATGGACTCATGTAGAACCTGAGTCTACCATTTGGTTAGTTCAACCATAGTGCAGTTATTGTATCAAAGTTCCTCAATGAGTATCTGTTGTAGCAGCACTGGTCTTAGCTGCAATGTTTTCTCATTTTGACTTTTTCAGACTTTGGTTTTTTTTTCTTTTTTGGTGGGGGGAGGTTTGAGATAGGGTCTCCCTATGTTACCCAGTTGACAATGAATTCTATCCTCCTGCTTCAGCCTCCCAAATCACTGGAATTACAGGCACTCACTACCCTGCACAGCTGCAATATTCTTAACACAACATTTGCTACAGTTCAACTTTAAAAATTAGCCAATATCCAGCTTCCTAACCTTGGGATAGGGGCGTGGCTCAAGTGGCAGAGCACCTAGCAAGCTAGAGGGCCTGAGTTCAAACTCAGTACCGCAATAAAAAAAAAAAAAAAACCAAAACCCACACACCAGAGTTTCCTGACTTTTTAATCTCAACCTTTTGTTTCTAATTGCAAGCTGTTCCTAAATGCAGCTGATAAAGAAGTATGTATGCAACCAAAAAAAAAATTATATATGTATTTAGATACAAGCAACATCCTTCTTTGTGAAGGGAATATACATACATAGCAGAAACCAGAAAAGTAGGCACTGGCAAAGGCAAACATATGGGGTCATCAAGCTTTCTAATACATGGAACAACTAGCACCACCTAAGGGCACACTTACATTTCAAGAACTCTAACATCTTTTACATGAGTTACTTCCTTCACAGAAGTTTAATTAAATGAACAAGTGTTTTAAATGTGCTTTGTAGAATTTAACTGTATAAAAAAATCGATTTAAAAAGTCAGAATGAACTAAACATTCATTCTGCTTGAAATGTTAATGTTGACAATTATTTGCTTTGGTCAGACTACAACAGAATTCTGTACCTATGGCTGGTTAGTTCCACTCATAACATATGACTCAGAGGTAAAATGCCTTAAATGCCTCAGCTTTCTGTTCAGGTTGTCACAATCTTTCACTCCCTGCAGCTGACTCATGAATTTATGTTAGGGGCTTAAAAAGAGCCTAAGAAAAATTAGTTAAGAATTCAGTTGAACCAAATCCTAAATATTACACCAATTCTAACACTAGCCAAGAGGACAGGTGATCCTCTATCTTTAGAGGGATCTATAATAAAGCCACACAAGTACAAAACCCCAAAATCAGAGTACAAAGTCCTCCTGGCCTGAGAGTTCATACTAATCCCTGCTTAGATATTTAAAGCACTTGTTTTATCATGGAGACAACCGTCTCCACCTGAGTTCCATAAGCCATCTCAACACGCCTCAGACGCACCAGATAAACAAATCTGTCACACTCAGCAGACAAACTCTGAACAAGTCACTAAATCTCAGTTTTTAAGTTAGCCTTACAGTTTTTCAAAATCTTAAAATGTTTTCAACCACTAAGCATATATATTTAGGGACTCTAAACGTTTCCCGCTCTGCCACACACTCCCACTCTCACCAAAAATACCTTCCTATTTCTGCTAATATAATGAAAACAAAAAAGAGCAGAGACTGGTACACAGGCTTTGAAATAAGATGAAGAATGTTTAACTCTAGACTGCCGATTCCTAATATCTTATCCTCTTCAGTTTGTTCCTTCTTTAAAAATAATTCCACCTGGCTAGACAGGGTAATATCAAGAGATAAAAGCCTAGCCCAGTATTTGGTGCATGGTAAGCTCAATAAATGGCAGCTATTGTCATTATATGCTAACTTTAATATTAACCAGCACGGATACAAAAATGACAAAGTCTTCTCTGATCAAATAACTACTGCCTAACACACAAAAATGGGTATGTTTCTGGTGCCTAACAGTTGTCCTATGCTCTTGTGAGCTTACTTCATTTACTTATTTAAATGTTCTTTAGCTCCATCTTCACAGGTAAGGAAATTCAGACATTGACTCAAGATTTGCGCTCTTAACTATCGTTATCATTTCGAATAAACTTGCTTAAAGATTAGTCCTCTTCAACAGAGAACAGAGTAAATAAGCAAGAGTTTGAAGAGCCCTTGGGCCCCACCCTCTCTTGTTTAAACTTGAACACTCCCCAATACTAATTCAACATTAAAGGACAGAACTCGGGAGTTTTAAGAGGGTGGACCTATGAGTCAGACGAAACAAGTTCCTCTCTCCCCGCCCCCACCACCCGGGTACTGTGATTTGAACTCAGGGCCTTACACTTGCTCGCTTGAGTCACAGCCCCGGCGCAAAACAAGGCATGCTGTAAGGCACAGTCGACCTGGATGACCTTACCCTTCCCCAATCGGCAAAATGGGGATGGGACTAGCACCCACTTCACCAGCTGTTTTGACTTTTTTTTTTTTTTGCAGCACTGGGGTTTGAACTCTGGGTCTCACGCTTGCTAGGCAGGCGCTCTACCGCTAGAGCCACTCCACCAGCCCTCACCAGCTGTTCCGAGTATTAATGGAAGGATCCAAGTAAAGCACTCAGTATGGTTCTGATTAATTGCGTATACGCGAGCCACGGTAAAGGGAAGATAGCAACAATGGTGGAAAGCGCGGTTCGTCCCCGGGGTGACCCAGCACCCGAACGGGCCGTCGCCCTCCCCGCCCCTCCCCCACCGCGGCCCGGCTCTTACCGCTTTTGGGTTTAGACTCGCCGGCTGGCCCGGCCGAGGCGGAGCGGGGCGGCTGTTGCCCTTTGCTGCTGCCCGAAGAGGCGGAAGAGCTGTTGGAGCCGCTGTTCTTGTCCATGTCGGAGGCGGTGGCGGCGGCGTTGGGGGAGCTCTGCGGCATCAACAGGGGCCTCGGCGGCGACGGCGGTCGGAGCGGAGCGGGCGCGGCGGGGACCCAGGCTCATGGCGTTCAGGGCCGGCGGGGGTCGGCGGCGGCAGCGGTTCTCGGTCTTCATGGCGACATTTTTCCCGGTGTCCTTCCTCAGCTTCTCAAAATGGGAGGAGAAGCAGCAGGCGGGGCTGTCGAGCCCGGCGGTGGCGGTGACCGAGAGAGAAGAGGAGGCCGGGGCTCGGAAGTCCGGGCCGGGCCTGGCGGGGCGGAGGCTGCGGGGGAAGGGGAGGCGAGGGAAGGTGCGCGAGCCCCGCCGGCCGGCCGGACACGCTCTCCCGCCGCGGGGCAGGAGAGAGGGCTGGCTGTCTTGATGTCGGGGACGGGTGTCTCCGACACAGCGACCGACACTCGCCTCTAGGCCGAGGCCGAGCTGCTCTGGGAATGGCGACGAGTCGCCAAACAGCATCTCGAAGAACCCGGATGGGCTATATATATAGTGGAGAAGTAGGACTGATGTATTCTGGGAAATGTAGTTTTCATCTACATCTGGCTCCAATTTCCCCACTCTCCCTTCCTCACTCACAAAATGTATGGGATTGGGGGATTTGTAGTTCCTTCCAAGACCAAGTTTTCTTCTTAGCACACTAATAATATATATAATAAAAAAGATACTGATAATAATGCCACAAAACACTGAGATACCCTAGAACACCTTTATGGACTCGATTTATTGATTTTAGTCTAGTATTAATATTAATAGCCGGGCGCCAGTGGCTCGCGCCTGTAATCCTAGCTACTCAGGTGGCAGAGACCAGGAGTGTCATAGTTTTAGGCCAGCCCAGGCACAAAGCAAGACCCCCATCTCAAAACTACCCAAAACACAAAAAAACGGGCTAGTGAAGTGGCTCAAGTGGTAAAGCAAGCGTGGGGCCCTGGGTTCAAATTCCATAACATATTTCTGAGCTTTTGTTCTCTCATATCATGAATAATAATAGCCTTAATAAGGACAATACTTGGGTTGAGAGTATGGCTCAAGTAGTAGAGTGTCTGCCTACCAAACACAAGACCCTATGTTCAAAAGCCAGTATGACCAAAAATACAAATACATTTAACATCACTCTTCAGCACTTCCTCATGCAACTTTTGTTGTTACTGAGTCACTTATCCAATATAAATAGTTGTTAACATTTCATTTCGCTGCTAATTATAATAGTTATCCTGAGTGCTTAATATTAGCAATCACTCTGCTGGGCTTGTGTGTGTGTGTGTGTGGTTCTGGGGTTTGAACTCCAGGACTACACTTTCAGCCATTCCACCAGCCTTCTTTTTTTTTTTGATGAATTTTTTTGAGACTGTTTTCCCTGGCTGGCTTCGAACTGCCATCCTCCTGCTCTCTGTCTCCTGAGTAGCTAGAATTACAAGGCATGAGCCACCAGCTCCTGGCTCTTTTGGGCTTTTAACATGAAGTGTCACTTTTTTTTTTGGCATTACTGAGAATTGAATCTATGGCCTCCCTCATGCTAGACAAGTGTTCTACCACTTCACCCATGCCCTCAAGCATATCACATTTAATTTTTTTTTAGTGGTGGTGGTGCTGGGAATTGAACTCAGGTCCTTCCACATGCAAATGCTTTATTGATAGCTGAGCTATACCTCCAACCCCACAATAACTAAAATCTAAAGATGAATAAACAGACTCAAGAAGTTTAGATAATTTACCCATGATCCCATAGCTAAGAAGTGATGAGCCTTAGAAAATCACATAGATACTCTGAAAATCACATCACGGCTGGGCACCCGTGGCTCACACCTGTAATCCTAGCTACTTGGGAAGCTAAGATCTGGAGGATCGCAGTTCCAGGACAGACTCAGCAAATAGTTCGCAACTCCATCTCCAGAAATAACCAGAGCAAAATAGACTGCAGGTATTACCTAAGTGGTAGAGCACCTGCTTTGCAAAGGTATGCTTTGCCACCACAAAAGCCCTGAGTTCACACACCAGTCCCACCAAAAAAAAAAAAAAAGAAAGAAAGAAAAGATAAAGAAAATCACATCCCAACCACTTGTACTTTGGGAAATTAAGTTATTCCCTTCCAACTGTAGTAGTTTGAGATTCAAAGGGTCACATGCACACACTGTTTAAATATATGAACAGATAACACTGTTCAATTAGACTCTCTTTAACTGCTTAGAAACCGATTATGTGCCAGGCAAGGTACTAGGCACAAGGAATGCCAAATCAATTAAAAGTGATGCTTTTAATGTGTTCATAATTTCATAAGTTACAAAGTTAAGCAAATAAGAAACTACAAGAACATGATAAGGGCTATGATATGTTTAATTATGAAATGCTGATCAGAACAGAGACTCCAAGACAGAAGTACCAATAGTTAAGAGGGGTGAAGAACTTCACAGAAGTGCTGTCATATGAGCCTAACATAGAAGGATGGATGAGTGGGTTGTTTCTTTGTTTTTGCTGTGCTGGGGATTAAACCCAGGGCCTCTTCCATGCAAACAAGCTGTCTACCTCTATCCAAGTGGTTCTGAGTTTGAACCACCAAACTTGAGCCATTCCACAAGAACTATTTTGTGAAGTGTTGATGAATTATTTCCTTCTTCTGTCATTCATAAAAATAAAAGACAGGGAAAGAGAAATCCTAGTGTAGTAGGTAGGTGTCCATCTGTCAGGCTATATTAAACCAGGAAGAGATTTTTCATTTCAAAATAGTTTCTTAGAATTCTTGGCTCTTTCTCCTTGTGAAATATGTACAGAAAATGCGCATTTTAAAAAGGGAATTAAAAGAAAAACTCAACAACCTCCATCCTCTCTTTTGCACAAGATGGTCTACATTGTCCTTTCAATTTAAAAAATTGATTGAAACTGTGTGGATGGGGGAGGGAAAGAGATGGGGGGGAGGTGGCACAAACAATGTATACACGTGTAAGTAAATGTAAAAACAATAAAATAAAATGAGAAAGAAAAAAAAAGTACAATATGATCCAGTTATACCACTCCTGAGTACAGACCTGAAGGAAATTAGGTCACCACATAAAAGAGAGTCCTGTATTCCCAAGTTTGTGGTTGCACATTCACAGTAGCCAAGATATGAAATTATATCAACATATGAATGTGTGTGTATATTTCCTTTACATATATAAAACAATATTTTATATACATATATACAGTATATACAGCCTTCAATTATTTAAAGACTAAGTAGTCTCTGGATCCCAGAGGTCATGCATGGCTCCTTAATATCAAATTTTATACATATAAATTTTATACATATATGTATATTTCTGAATAAATAATGCAACATTATTCAGCCATTAAAGAATGAAATTCGTTGGATGCGGAGGCAAACACTTGTGATCCCACCACTTGAGAGGTTGAGACAGAAGGATCCTGTATTCAAAGACAATCTGGGCTATATATTCAGACCTTGTCTCAAAAAAAAAAAGCAAAACAAAATTTAAAATCCCAAAAAAGGAAAAGGGGGAAAAAAACAATTTCTTTTACAGGAAAATGGGTAGAACTGGAAATCATCATGTTAAGCAAAGTAAGTCAGACTCAGAAGTATCACATGTTTTCTTTTACGTAGAAACTAAAGAAAGGAAGAAAAACACTGGGGACATGGCTCAACAGTGCAGGGCTTGCCTATCACCAAGAAGGCCATGTGTGTGAGTGGATATTCCAGAAATAATACAACGGATTACTGATTCAAAGACTGCATTTTTAAGATCAAACCAGCCAGGCACCAGTGGTTCACGCCTGTAATCCTAACTATATGGGAGACTGAGATCAGAAGGATCACGGTTGGAGGCCAGCTAGGACAAATAGTTCATGAGACCCCATCTCCAAAATAACCAGAGCAAAATGGACTGGAGGTGTGGCTCAAGCGGTAGAGCACCTGCTTTGCAAACTAGAAACCCTGAGTTCAAACCTCAGACCCACCGAAAAAAAAGAAGGAAAAAGATCAAACCTTGGGAGCCTGAGGCAGGGAGAACGTTCACCAATTCCAGTATGAGTTTCACCCAACCGGCCTGGTTTACATCGCGAGACCTTATCTCAAAATAATAATAATAATAATGGGGGGTGGGGAGAAAAGGCCCAATGTATGCACATATGAATAAATGAATAAAATAATAATAGTAATAATAAAGTTCAAACCAGGTGATTCTTACACCAAAATATGCAGAAATTGACCTCATGGTCTACACCATGACACAGTTTCCCCTTGTGCACCAGAAAACACAAATATACAAATATTCATTCTTGGGAGTTGATACAGGTACTACTGGTTGGTAGGATCGAGACATGGCTGCTGAGAGGCGATGCCTGATGAATTCTTTTTTTTTAACCACTCAGACCGTGCTCTCTCCCTCTTACTCCCTTGAAAGAAAGTAAGAACGATCATCAGTGGCAAATGGCAGTTGCAATAAAGCAACACCAAGAACCAGCTTCAGGCTGAGGAGACAGCACCGCACCTCCTCCTCATGGTTTCCAGTACTCCACACAATCAGAGAAACTTCTCTAGTAACGAACTATAGAAATGATCCCTGAAAGCATAGTCTCTCCTGATGAATTCTAAATTCAATTTGGAAGAGAAAGATGAAGGGCCTTTTGAGTATTCAAACACTAAGTAGCTTCCGGATCCAAAAAGTCCCACATAACCCAATATCAGGTTTCCGGACGCGTTCGAATAAAACTGGCTCCGGCCGGCCGCCGTCGTCCGACTGATGACGTAACACGACGTATAGCTGGGCCCGCGTAGCCCGACAGTCAAGATGGCGGCCCCTATGAGCTATGTTCTATGGAGGTTCTGCGGCCCCAGGTGGTCGCGGGCGTTGCGGGGCTGCGGCCTCCCTGTGCTTCAGAGCTCCTGGTCTGGGGGTCCGCTGGGTGCGCGGCTCTTGTCCCAAGAGAAGCGAGCAACGGAAACGCACTTCGGGTTTGAGACCGTGTCGGAGAAGGAGAAGGGGAGCAAAGGTGAACAGGACGAGAGGGCAGATGGAGGCATCTGTCAGTCAGCAGTCTAGTTTCTTCTGACCAACTAAGGGTTGATTTAACGTCCCGTTAACTCTAGTGCTGTTGTTTGTGCAGTCCTGACTTCCAGCGGGGACCCACCTGCCCGAGTGGGCAGAGCTTAGACGCCCCCTTTTTTTAAATCAGAATATCAGTAAATCCCATCAATTCAGCGTTTGTGATCTACCAGTCACCCTGTAGACATTTTTTTACAATCCTCATTTTCACTTTCCAGTGATGAGTAGTATTATGTTAAGAAATTGAGACTTAAAGGTTAAGCAAGAACTTACCCAATTTAACGCAGCTAGTAAATGGCAGAACCAGTATTAGAACCCGGGTTGGTCTGATTCCAGAGTCCACATTCTTAGCCTCTTACTAGAGAGAAAAGCCATTTTTTTTTTATAGAAAGGAAGAAAGAAACTGTCTTCTTTGTGCCTCAGCTTCTAAATTTGCCAAGTAGGAATAGTAGCAACCTTCTTGTAGAGTTCTTGTATCATATTACTTTAAATACATTAAAGCACTTCAAATATTGTTGAGCAGTTTCTTTAGGCATGGAAAAGGACTGTTTTCAGATCTAGCTGTGCCATCTATACCCATTTTAATTTAGACAAGGGAAGGCCCAGAGGCTTCTTTGATAGGGTAAGGTCACTCAGGAAGCAAGAAAAGAACCCACAGTGGAATGTTTGAGTTTTTTTCTTTTGCTGGTACTAAGGTTTGACCTCTTTGCCCTTATTAGGCAGGTTCTGGACCACTGAGCCACGCCTCCAGCACAAACATTTAATCAGTTGTAATGGAGAAGCAGCATACCATACTATGAGAGGAAAATTACAGATTTGAAATAATTTTTCTTGGGGGGTGGCTGTTGAGGTTTGAACTCAGGGCTTCAAATTAGTCTTAAAGACTACCTTTCAGTACCTCCACCTCAATCTTGTTAAATATATATAGGTCTACTGGAATTTTTTGGACATTAAATTCAAGTTTTCATTTTTATCATTTCTATATCCTCGGGACCTGATTCAGGTGAGTGAAATAAGTGGAGCCAAGTATACTGTGTGTACTCAACACTTCCTGCAGTGACAAGCAGTGGCAGGGGACTCACAACTAAGCTAAATATTCATTCCAACTTAGTGCTGAAGTACAGGCAGACTTCACTTGACACATTAATGTAGGAAATTATGATAATGACCTGAAATCATGATAATGACCTGAATAATCAATGGTAAAATTACAGTTGTTCCATGTCCTTTAAAAATTATTTAGGCTTTGAACTGGAGGTGTATACTCCAGTGGTAGAGCACCTGCTTTGCAAATGCAGACCCAGTACCACCAGGTACTGGTGGAGTGTAGCTCAGTAGTAAAATGTGCTAAGCATGCTCAAGGTTCAGAGTTTGATTCATAGCAACAACAACAACTACTATTGAACATCATAAATTCTCTGTCAGTGGGCTGCTGGTGACCTGTAATCCCAGTACTTGGAGATTGAGGCAGGAGGATCATGAGTTCAAAGCCAACCTGAGCTACACAGTAAGACACTATCTCAAAACACACACACACAAAAGACAACAAAAACCCTGACACATAATTATAAGTGTATAGAAAAGTGAAAAAATAAGTACAGCTAATTTGCTTAGTATACTAATTTAGAATTAAGCTGGGTGCTGGTAACTCATGCCTGTAATCTTAGTTACTCAGGAGGCAGAGATCAGGAGGATTATGGTTTGAAACCAACCTGGGCAAATAGTTTGTGAGATCATATCTCAAAAAAAACCCATCACAAAAAAGGGCTGGTGGAGTGGCTCAAAGTGTAGGCCCAGAGTTCAAAGCCAGTACCATCAAAAAAACAAAAACCGAATTGAAGTGAAGAATCAGGTATGGTGTTAGGAAAATAGCATGCATTTGGTGTCAGAAGACATTACACACCAATCTCCTCCATTGGGTTCAGGGGAGAAGAACATCCTCTTTCCATTTAGAATTTTTCCATGTCAATCCTACTAATAAGGCAGTTGTGTATTTCTTCCATGACAGTCTATCAAGTGTTTGAAAGTGTGGCCAAGAAATATGATGTGATGAATGATCTGATGAGTCTTGGCATCCATCGTGTTTGGAAGGATTTGCTGCTCTGGAAGATGCACCCATTACCCGGCACCCAGCTGCTCGATGTTGCTGGAGGTACAGGTAAGATCAAGTTTGGTGTCCTTGAGTACCATCTAGCATCTTCTACAGAAATTATTATCTCATTTCTCATTGGAACAAAGTATCTCATCTACCATCATACTGAAGTTGGTAACTGAAAATCAGTATACTTGCAACTTCCATGAGAGGTATACAAAAGTTTCAGCCAAAAGCAGCTTTGTGCAAAGTGAGCCAGGCTCAAAAAGTCAAAGGTCAAATGTTTTCCCTCATATATGGAAGCTAAACCTGTAGGTTGAACGTATGTGTGGATGTATATATACATGTATATATCGATATATATACATACACACATTATATACATAGAACAAAATTGTATTAGTGAGTCTGTCTGAGGGGACTGCAGGAGAGGGAAAGTAACTCATCTATATATGAATATAATGTACTATACTGTAAGCTGTTGAATATTAGGGGATCGTGGTGATCGAGAGAATGAGTAAGTAATGGAGGGGATTAATTTGATTAAAGCATGAATTACCAAGACAAAACCCCCTTGGACTATCAATATATGCTTAAAACAAAAAAATGAAGGGCAGGAGGGTAAAAAAGTCTTTCCTGGAAGTTGTTACCAGTGGGAGGGGGGGTAAGCAAAAGAAAAGGGTGAATGAAGGTGAATATGGTAGATGTATTTTATATTCATATATGAAAATAGAAGAATGAAATCTGTTGAAATTGTTCTAAGAAGGCAGGGAAGGAGAAAGATGGAGGGGTAAATCTAACTAAGATATATTGTAAACATACATGTAAATATCACAATGTATCCCCCTGTACAAATATTATTTGCTAATAAATTAAAAGAAAAAACTGAAAGAACAGCTTTGTGGGAGTTGGAGATATAACTCAGTGGTAGAACACTTGCCTAGCATACGCAAGGCCCTGGGTTTAAACCCTAGCAGTGCAAAAAAAAAAGTAGGGTGCCAGTGGCTCATGCCTATAATCTTAGCTATTTGGGAGACTGCAATCAGGGTGTGGGGGAGTTGCACTTGGAGGCCAGCCTAGACAAATAGTTCACAAGACCCCATCTTCAAAAATAACCAGAGCAAAAATGAGCTGGAAGTGTGGCTCAATTGGTAGAATATCTGCTTTGTAAGCATGAAGCTCTGAGTTCAAAACCCAGTCTCAGCAAAACAAAACAAACAACAAAAAAAGAAAACAGCTTTGTGGGCTGGAGATGTAACTCAAGAGTTAGAGTACTTACCTAGCATGCATGAGGCTCTGGGATAAATACCCAATACCATTAAAAAAGAAAGAAAGACTGGGAATGTACTCAGTGGTTTAGTGTACCACAAAAAATAAATAAGTAAAATACAAACAAAAGGTTTTGTGCCTGTCACTTCTCTAAAACAGAATTAAAAAGTAAAAGACCAATTTTTGACTCCAGTGATATTTCATCATTTAAATGACTGCTTTATTTTTTTTCCCTCCTCTTGGTGCTGGGTATTGAACAGGGCCCAGAGATACAAGGCAAGCACTGTAACACTGAGGTATATCCCCTGCCTCTTTTATCTTCTAAATGCCTATTTCAGCTTCTGTTTAACCTTTAACCCACTTTCCCTTTTGTTGGAAGGAGGGAAGCCTTTTATCACACTAAATAAGCTTTCTATGTAGTCTTTTCTACCTAATCTGCTATCTCATCAGGTATCAAAAGCTTAATTGTTGTCTCTGCTCCTTTGTTACTTACTGCACACTTAGCATTTGGGGAGAAAAATGTGGTGGATTTCTAAAGTGCATGTTGTGGGCTGGGGAGATAGCTCTGTGGTAGAGTGCTAGGCTTAGCATCTCTACGCCAGGGGTTTGATCCCCAGCACCACAAAAAAAAAAACACTAGTACAATGTAAATGCTATGTAAATAGTTACTATAGTGTATTCTTTAGGGAATGTTGACCAAAAAAAAATCTGTACATGTTCAGTACAAACACAATCATTTTAAGTCTAACTGCATTTTTTGATCCATGGTTGGTTGAACCTGTGGTTACAAAGTGTCTAGGTATGCTTATGTTACTTTTATAAAAATTATTTTAAGATTGGTGTGGTGGTACATACCTGTAATCCCAGCACTTGGGAAGCTGAGGCAGGAGGATCATGAGTTCAAGGCCAACCTGGGCAGCAAGTGAGACCCTGTGTCTGAAAAAAACAAGAGAGAAGAAAATGTTACTGTTGAAAGGAGTAGAAACCTCCTTCTTCATACACTCATTCACTCCTATACCTTTGTTATTCCTTTTGGGTTAGGAAATAATGGTTTTTGGAGGGTTTGGTTTTGGTTTTGTTTACATCATTCTTCCCATTGGCTTTCCACAGGTGACATTGCATTTCGGTTCCTTAATTATGTTCAGTCACAGCATCAGAGAAGACAGAAGAGAAAGTTAAGGGCCCAGCAAAATTTATCATGGGAAGAAATTGCCAAACAGTACCAGAATGATGAAAGGGATTCCTTGGGTGGTTCCCACGTTGTGGTTTGTGACATCAACAGGGAGATGCTAAAGGTTGGAAAGCGGAAAGCCTTTGACCAAGGATACAAAGCTGGTGAGTGCCCTGGAGCAGACACAGAGGAAATACTTGTCTTTATAAAATAAGGTGCATTACATCAAATGTTGAAATGCTTTATATTCCAACTTTCAGAAACTTATAAGTAGGCAGAAGTCGGAGATCATTTGTATGGCTGAGTACAGCTCCTGTGGTGTTACATATATGATTTCAGCAAGCTAGATGAACAGCCCCATGTGACAGGGGGATAACCAAAGCCCAAACAGGTTAAAGATCTTACTTAAGTCACACAACTTTTAAGTAGCCGATCCTGGGACTGGTAGACTGACTCAGCTGGTAGAGTGCCTGCCTAGCAAGTGTGAAGCCCTGAGTTTAAATCGAAGTCCCACCAAAAAAAAAAAAAAAAAAAGAAAGAAAGTGGCAGATCCTAAATTGGAGCTCAGTCTTTGTATCTTGGCTCTTGAAGCCCGTTATAGAAGTTTTGTTTTCATTATTCATAGTGATGCATGCCCGTAATCCTAGCATTTGGGAGGCTGAGGCAGGAGGATCTCCAGTTGGAAGCCAGCCTGGGTTACATATCAAGACCCTGTCTAAAAAAAGAAGTTTTGCTTTTAATACCCAGCAACTCTAGGATGACTTCAGAGTGTCCTTCCTGTGTTTGAGGCATTCCATTCCCTATCAGTGCTAGGCCGGCTTGATTCCTTTGGAACACAAGCAAGCTGCTCAAATTCCCTGTAAAAACAGAATTTGCCTTCAGTCACAAGGACTATACTTAGCTAACAGCTTCCAACTTTTAGCACTTCAGCCTCTGCCTCAGCTTTCTTGCAAGGCCAAGTTCCTTCTTGGCAACTCCCACTGAGCACTGGTGGGGCTGAAAAGTACTCTTTATTTTGTGGGGGAGGGCCTAAGGGGTGTGACAAGGTCCTTGAACCTGTTATCCTCCTTCCTTAACTCTGGAGTGCTGGGATTATAGGAAGGAATGAGCCACTATGCCCAACCTAAGCAGGACTCTTAATGGCCAGTCTTGACTCCAGAGCTTCCTGCTGGGCAGGCTGAGGTCTTACCATATTTGCATCAAGGTCTAAAGACTGTCCTAGGACTGATGGAGTGGCTCAAGTGGTAGAGCGCCTGCCTAGCAAGCCTGAGGCCCTGAGTTCAAACTCTAGTACCACCAAAAAAGAAAAAAAAAAAACAGACTGTCCTACTCAGTTTTTCTTCTTCCTTTTATCTTCCCCAAATGTTGCCCCCACCATCACCCAAAACAAAACAAAAAAAACCAGAAACATCGTTTGCACCCCTTGCTCCATCTCAGCATGTTTGTCAGAGGACCTAACTGACAGTAAAGAAAAGAGACATCAGTACCAGACTCCTCAAGCTTTCCCACTCTAGCAAATACCAGCAGCAGGTACTTGAGTGACTGACTCTAGGAGCCCACTGCAAGCACAAAATGGATGATTTCTGCTGTAGCACACAAATGTAAATTTTTACGTTTGGCTGCTTAACATTCATAAATGCTTTTGTCCCAATTTTCTTAACTTCATTAATGATCCTATAAGCTGCACCCTTTTTGCCCAGCTGCATGGCCTTCATCCAAGGTACCCAGATACTGCAAGCAACCACAGAGAGAAGCAAGGGTATATAATAAAAGAAAAATCTCTCAGGTCCACATCAGTATTTCTTTCCTCCTCCTCCCCCACCAGAAGCATCTCTGGTTATTTTAACCCAATTCTTTTTCCTCCTCCCGCCCCCATGAGCAGCTGCCTAGACGATTTGCAGCCCACTGGTCCCCAGGATGAAGGGCTCTTTTGTCAGTCATCAACACGAATCAGAAAGCAGACAGTCACTAGTGTTTTTCAGACAAAAGCACTGTGTTTCCTTACTTCTACTGACCAAAGTGTTTCCCTTCACTCTGGTGCTCAGCCATGAAGAATGGAGAAAGGACTGGGGGCGTGGCTCCAGTGGTATAGCGCCTGCCTAGCAAGCATTGAAGACCTAAGATCAAACCCAAGTACTGCCAAAAAAAAAATTAAAAAATTAAAAAATGGAGAACAAGAGTATTGGAATGAGAGGTAACATTCCATTTCTGGAATCATCTCTTCCATGCTGTCATAACTGCTAAGACAAATGCACCTGAACAGGAAGTAAGTGTTGTCTAGTATAGTTTTCTTTCCTCCTTGCTTTATCAATCTCCAGTAATGCCTTGCAAAACACATGCGAAAACAAGAAACTAAGTAGGAGGGTCTCAGAAGTTATCTAATAAAAGTAAAAGTTAATGTGTAAAGGCATTTTTTATGTTTAATATTATGTTATATATATATTTTTCCCCTTTTTTTGTGCTGGTAATCAAACCCACAAATGCTAGACAAGCGCATTAACCACTGAGCTACATGCCCCCAACCCTGGGTGTGTTTTTTCTTCTTCTATTTGGTAGACCGGGGTTTGAACTTAAGCTTTGCACTTACTAGGCAAGGGATCTACCACTTGAGCCATCCTCCCAGCCCATGCATTGGTTATTTTTGAGATAGTGTCTCTCGCTTTATGTTCATGCTGGCCTAGACTGTGATCTTCCTATTTGCTGCTTAGCTATGTAGCTGGAATGACAGACATGTACCACTGCACCCAGCCATTGGTTAAGATGGGGGTCTCTCAAACTTTTTGCCTAGGCTGGCCATGAACCTGAGCTCGCTTTGAACCTCAGTCCTCCTGTTCTCTGCCTCCTGACTGTTTTCTTTTTAAAGCTCTTTTTAGATACTGCTAGTTTGCTTTCTGGAAAGGTTGTTTTTATTTATTTATTTTTTTAAAGTATTTGCATTTTTTTTTTTTCTTCACAGTACTGGAGTTTGAACTCAGGGCCTCATGCTTGCTATGCAGGCGCTCTACCACTTGAGCCATTCTGCTAGCCCATGCTTTGTTTTTTTGAAACAGGGTCTTGCTATGTAGCCCAGGCTGGTCTTAAACTCAAGCTCCTCCTGCCCCATCCTATCAAATTCTGGGATTACAGTGTGTGACACCATACACAGTTTAGAATGGTTATCATCATTTTTCTTCCTCTAAAAAGACTTCTTTTTATATTTTATGTCTAATTGCCTACAGGTTTGAATAATGTTGTCAAAAAACAAAATTATACTTTTAAAGATCTTAATTTGCTTTATTCATGATTCTACAATTAGGCAATACTTAATTCCATAAGCTAGAATAAGCATTTCAGTGGGTCAGGCAAGGAAAGTTGATTTTATAAGCAGGTAAATGCAGAAGAAAGCTGAAAAAGACACAAAGCAGATTGCCACTTCATAGTCACTTTTCTTATAAGGTGAGGCCGTAACAATAGAAAAGAACTGATTGGTTAACGCCACAGTGCTGCAAGTTATTTTTACAAGCATGAAAGTCAGAGAAAACTATGATGATACTCATTAGAACTAGACTAGGAAATGTGGCTGTTTGTCATTTCTTTTGGTTTCACAGAAGGTCAGATAAACAGCTTATTTTCAGCTTTGGTGATGTGGAACTTTACTTTTATTTTTAGCCTGGACTGTTGGGACCTAGTGCAGGAGCTTAGTCCAAAACAGTGGCTCCTGTAATTTTCATTTATCAGTGTTAAAGCCAAATCAGTACCTTTAGAGGACATTGCTACCCTGATAAGGGGCTTTCTCAGATATTTTCTGAATTCAGAAGTAGGATTGGTGTCTGGACACTTTCGATGACTACAAGAGAATCCGCAGTGTATCTACAGAGCATTGGTTCCAGGAACTCCCTCAGATACCAACATCTGCAAATACTCAAGTCCATTATATAAAATGACACAGCACTTGCACATAGCCTACATATACCCTCCTGTAGGGTTTTTTTTAATGTGTTTGTTAAGACAAGGTCTCATTGTATAGCCCAGACTGGCCTCTAACTCACAATCCTTCAGCCTCCCAAGGGCTGGGATTACAGGCCTGTGTCACCATGACCAGATTCTTCTTATATACTTTAAATCATCTCTAGATTACTTTTATATGATATAAATGATATATAAATAGTTGTTATATTGTATTGGATATGACAAGAAAAAGTGTGTACCTGTTCAGTACAGACATAATTTTGTTTTGTTTTGTTTTTGGTGTTTTTGGCCTTTTGTATGCTTAGCGTACACTTACCATTGAACCTTACCCCTGCCCTTCAAGTATTTTCAATCTCTGTTGATTGAATCCATGGATGGGGAATCTAGATATGGACAGCAGACTGCTTCACTATGCTAAATTCTTCATTGTCAGTGTAGAACTCACTGTAAGTAAGTTGTTACTCTTATTAATTCCATTTAACAAACAGACTGAGACAAAGTAGTTTATTCAAGATTATTACAGCACTTGGGAGGCAGAGATAGGAGGATTACAGTTCAAGCACAGTGAAGGCAAAAGTTTACAAGACTTCAAAATAAACTGGGTGGCCGGGTGCTGGTGGCTCAGCTTGTAATCCTAGCTACTCAGGAGGCAGAGATCAGCGGGATCGCTGGATCACAGCCCAGGCAAATAGTTCCACGAGACCCTATCTTGAAAAAAAACTCTTCACAAAAAAGGGCTGATGGAGTGGCTCAAGGTGTAAGCCCTGAGTTCAAGCCCCAGTACTGCAAAATAAATAAATAAATAAATAAATATAAACTGGGTGTGACAGAGCTCACTTGTAATCCCAGCTACTTGGAAGGCTGAGGAAGGAGGATCAGCCTGGTCAAAAAGCACAAGACCCTACTAGAAAAACAAACTAAAAAAGTAAAAGGGGACTGTGTGCGAATGACTCATGCCCATAATACTAGCTACTCATCAGGCAGAGATCAGAAGGATCAAGGTTCATAGCCAGCCCAGGCAAATAGTTTGAGAGATTGTATCTTGAAAATACCCAACACAGAAAAGGGCTGGCAGAGTGGCTCAAGCAGTAAGAGTGCCTGCTGAGTTTAAACCCCAATGCCACCAAAAAAAAAAAGAAAAGAAAAAAATTGTTTGAGGATGGTTCTTGGCTCAGGACTGAGGACTGTCTAGCATGCAGAAAGCTTTGGGTTCTATCCCCAGCACTAGCAAAGGAAATTTGCTTTGGGTAAAACATAAGTAAGCAAGCATCAAGTTGTGGTATTGGACCCTTGAAAGAGGGCTCAGATCTTCAGAGATACCAAGCTTCAAGTTCTTGGGATTAGAGGACACCATAAAAACAGTGGCCAGGAATCGAATGGAGAAGGCAGGTGTGTGATGTCTTCTGACATCAAATGTGTTGCATTTTCTTGACACCATGCCTGACATCTCACTTCAGTCACTTCAATTGGGGTTTGTTTTGGCGGTATTAGGGTTTGAACTCAGGGCTTGCTAGGCAGGCGCTTTACCACTTGAGTCACTCTGACAGTCCTGTTTTGTATTGGGGTTTTTCGAGATAGGGTCTTATGAACTATTTGCCTTGGGCTGGCTTTGTACCTCGATCCTTCTGATCTCTGCCTCTGGAGTAGGTAGGATGTAGGAGTGAGCCACTGGTGCCCTGCTCAAAGTCAGTTTTGATGCTGCCCAGAGTTTACATCACACCCCAGATTTAAGGGCTCAGTCCCACAAGAGTGCCTAAACTTCCAACCCTAGCTGTACATTGGGTGCCTAGGCTACTCGCACTTCCTCCTGGCTGACTAAAAGTTCCTCAGGTTCAATAATCTGCTGGGTTTGAGGAACACAACTACCCAGACTCAGACCCAGAATTCATTTTGTCTTCTAGGACTTGCTTGGGTGCTGGCAGATGCTGAAGAACTACCTTTTGATGACGACAAGTTTGATGTTTACACCATTGCCTTTGGGATCCGGAATGTCACTCACATTGATCAGGTACCAATGGCTATTTGATTGGCTTGTGTGACTCCCAGGATCTGTTAGTTCTCCTGAGTTGATCCACAATGAATGAGGAAAGGAGAGATTTACGAACCAAGAACTTCAGTAGAATGACTATTTTAAGCTTAGGAACTTCTTCCTTTAGGTTGCCAATTTTTCTAGTTAGAAAATTGAAAAGGACCAAAATCACAGAGCAACTCCCCATAGAAGTTTTTGTTGCTTAGGTTGGCATTTATATTCTGGGAATGGTTAGTCTTGCTCTGGCCTTTCATCTCACTTGTAAAGCTGTCTGTGAGTTTGCAGATCAGAGGCATGGTCAGAGGTTGACACAGGAAAAGGCACTCAGCCATTATTTTAGTAGACAGTAAATTCATGGTTTCCCTATAGGGAGAAGAGAATATTTGTTTCTTAATCTGATTTAGCTTTTCTTTATTTCTGCTTTAATTTTCTGTTCAAAACATTTGACGATCATGTGCAAGGCAATTAGTTTCATATCTGTAATATTGTAACATGGGTTCCAGTGTGTGGCTCTTCTGCTTTAGGGTGGGACATTCTTTTTTGTTTTCCTGGCACTAGTAGAGTTTGAACTCAGGGCTTCACGCTTACCAGGAAGGCACTCCACCACTTGAGCCACTCTGCCCTTTGTTCACTGGTTATTTTTGAGATAGGATTTCACTTTATGCCTGGCCCAGCCTGGACTGAAATCCTCCTATTTATGCTTCCTGCAGAGCTGGGATGTCAGACACCTACCACTTTTTTGTTCCAGCTGGTCTCAAACATGGTCCTCCTAATCTCCACCTCCCTTGTAGCTAGGATAATCAGCTTGAACCACCCCTGTCTGGGTGGGACATTCTTTAATGTGCTTGGTGTGGTTTGACTATGAGTAGTACCCTCTGAAGGTCTATTTCTTAAAGGACCTCAGAATGGAGCTATTGGGAAGTGCTGTGGACCTTTAAGAGGTGGGGCCTTGTGGGAAGTCCTTAGAAGTCCCTGGGGGCGTGGCTTATGAGTATTTTTGGATTCAGACCTGTATCCTTTCTCTCCTATCATTCCTCTCTTCCTATTTGCTTCCCTTCTCTTCCTCTTCCCTGTCCTCTCATCTCTCTCTCTCTCTCTCTCTCATCTCTCTATCTCTGCTTCTCTTTTGAATATTGCCACTTGAAAAATAAGATGAAGAGGTCTTTTTGGTTTGTTTATTTAGTTAGCTTTTTGGGGAAGAGGGTCTCCCTGAGGCCCATGCTGGCCTCAAACTCACTATGTAGCTCAGGCTGGCCTTGAACTTGTAATCTCCTTGCCTTAACCTCTCCATTGCTGCATTACAAGTATGTGCCACCAATGCCTTTTTGATTTGCTCTTTTTGATTTTAGATAGACTATGCTATATGTATTAATCATGTAATTAGCTACTGTGTAGGAAAAATTTACTGTCTTCTCTATAGTCCTATATTTTTGTTTTCTTTTTCTTTTTTCTATGATGGGACTGGGATTTGAACTTAGGTCTTCACGCTTGCAGAGCAGACACTCTACCACTCAACCCACATCTGCAGTCCTATATTCACATATTTTTGACACCAAACGTGGGATTTCCCCACACCAAGCAATTCTCTGAAGATAGCAATTGGGTGTCTTTCAGTTCAATTCAGTTACATCTACTTCGAGTTATCAAAGACTCAATCCTCATTCACACAAGCCCCCACTTCAGACTTGAATTGTTTGCTCTTGTTTTCACTGGTGCATCTGACTGGCTATACATAGGGTTCCTGCAACCCCTCCATGCATTTGATCATTTGCTAGAATACAGTCTTCCTCTCATGGCAAACAGCCATGAAGTGAACAGTTTGCTCTGCCATCTGCTCCCCACCATTGTCATATGGCACACCCACCAGAAGCCCACAGTAATGGGCCCACCAATCTTGGACTGGAACTTCTGAAAAATGTAAGCCCAAAATAACCTTTTTCTCTTTATAAATTAATGTTCTCAGGTATTTCATCACAGTGATGGAAAACTGACTAATAGTGCTCTTTATAATCATTTCATATTTCTCTACCTCCCTCCCTCTCTCTCTCCCCTTTTTTTTTTTTTTAAGATAGGTTCTCATTATGTAGCCCAGGCTGGCCTTGAATTCAGAATCTTCCTGCCTCTGCCTCCCAAGTGCTAGGATTACAAGTATGTGCCACCACACCTGGCTAGTTTATTATTTCTTTTAATTAAAAAAATTTTGGTAGGCTGAGAGCATAGCTCAAGTGGTAGAGTACTTGCTTAGCAAGCTCATGGTCCTGAGTTCAAATCACATACCAAAAAAATTTTGAATAGGTTCAAAGTTCAAATGGAGAAGCCAAGTGCCAGTGGCTCACACCTGTAATCCTAGCTACTCAGGAGGCAGAGATCAGGAAGATAGAGGTTCAAAGCCAGCCTGGGCAAATAGTTTGAGAAACCCTTTCTTGGAAAAACCCATCACAAAAATAGGGCTGGTGGAGTGGCTCAAGGTGAAGGCCCTGAGTTCAAACCCCAGTACTACAAGGCACTGGTGGCTGACATCTATAATCTTACCTACTTGGGAGACTGAGATTGGGAGCACTGAGGTTCCAGACCAGATTAGGCAAGTAGTTCATGAGACCTTATCTCCAAAATAACCAGAACAAAATGGACTGGAGGTGTTGCTCAAGCAGTAGAGCTCCTGCTCTGCAAGTGCCTTCTTTGAGAGCACAAAGTCCTGAATTTAAATCCCATACTACCAAAAATAAATAAAGATACTTCTAATCCTGTGCTGTTCAAATAGTGAAATATCTATATACATGTAATTTCTACCATAGAAGAGTTTCTGTAGGATAGATTCCTTGATTAAAATTGTTATACTGAAGAATATATGCACTGTGATTTTGATCCATAATTCTAAACTTGCTCTTTATGGTGTTGTACTAGTCTATACTCAGTAATCTTAGGTAGTCATTGGGTAGCACAGTGCCTTTATCATTTAGGATATGTAGGATTATTTCTGCTGTTAACAGCTTTCCAACTGACAGTGCACAAGTTAGTAATGTTTATAATGCCCACAGAAACCCATGGAATTGAGTGAAGGCTGCTGACTAGTGTGTCCTGTTGTCCTTATCTCTCTCAGGCACTTCAGGAAGCCCATCGGGTCTTAAAGCCAGGAGGACGGTTCCTTTGTTTGGAGTTTAGTCAAGTGAACAATCCCATTGTGTCCAGGTTGGCATTGATAAAAGGTCTTTATCTTCATTGTCTAGCCAAAGGTTTCCCATTCCAAAATGGATAGAAAGTAGCCAGTAAGCTATAAGTCTGAGTCCCAGAAGCCCTGAAGGACAGTGCTGCTTCAAGAGGGGGCTGGCAGTGTGGTACAGGTGGTAGAGCACTTGCCTTGCAAGCACAGGCCCTGAGTTCAAATCTCCGTACTACCAAAAAAAAAAAAGAGAGAGAGAAACATCTCACTGCTGGTGGACTCACTGCTGAGGGAGTTCTCAAGCAGTAGAATACCTCCCTAGCAAATTCGAAGCCATGAGTTCACACCCCATTTCTACCGAAAAACAACAGAAGGTTAGTGAGTTCTGAATAACAATACTTAGACCAGAAGAGCCTCAGCCCAGTAACCAGAGGCCCTAGTTGGCTCATGTTATATTTTATTTGACTCATATAGTATTTTAAGAAATTGACTTAAGGTTGGAGCACACTTAAGTGGTAATGTGCAAGGAGGAGGCCCAGAGTTCAAACCTCTGTACTGAAAAAAGACAAGACTTAAAATCAGGAAATTTTAATCAGAGCCTAATGCTAACTACCTCTTCTCTGCTTTTATAAGTACTGTTACTTGCTAACTATAGCTGTCATTATACCTCTTGGTCTTGTACATGGCACACTTCCCTAATTTCAGGCACTTGCTTGACACATACCTCCCCACACACATGGACTTCTTACTGAAGAAAGTATTCAGGGCATTTTCTTTTTCTTTTTTTTGGTGGAAGTAGTAGGGAATGAACCCAGGGCATGTTCTAATTCAAATGTCTTGCCTTTTTGTTTAGGCTGTATGATCTATATAGCTTCCAGGTCATTCCTGTCCTAGGAGAGGTCATTGCTGGAGACTGGAAGTCCTATCAGTACCTTGTGGAAAGTATCCGAAAGTTCCCATCTCAGGTACAAAAGTTCCATAGTTTATAATAAAGACCCTAAAGATGAAAGCCAAGCAATCCTTGCTCTGTTTTTCCTTTTGTTTTAGGAAGAGTTCAAGGAGATGATTGAAGATGCAGGTTTTCAGAAAGTGACTTACGAAAGTCTAACTTCAGGCATTGTGGCCATTCATTCTGGCTTCAAACTTTAACTTGTTTCCTATCTGGAGTGTGAACCAGTCATATCCTATTGGAGCCTGGAACTGAAGGATAATTTGGCTGAAGAGACAGCAGCTGAGCAAGCACTTCCTCTTAAGGATATGAACCTTAGCCAGGCACCAGTGGCTCAAGCCTGTAATCCTAGCTACTCAGGAGACAGAGGTCAGGAGTATCATGGTTCAAAGCCAGCCCACACAAATAGTTGGTGATACTGCATCTTGAAAAAACTCATCACAAAAAGTACTGGGGGAGTGGCTCAAGGTGTAGGCCCTGAGTTCAAATCCCTTTTTTTAAAAAAGGGATATGAACCTTAGACTCATGCTGAACTGACAGTCTCAAAGTGTCATTTTTTTTGCAGCTTTCATTAGAAGATTCTCTGGCCTTCTCCAAGAGAATTTGGTCTGTTCTTTTACTCAACTCCTGCTAACTTCCTTGGGCTGTGTAGTATGGAGTTTAGGTAAAACCAGCACTAAAGCACGGTACTGCCTTCCAAAAGAATAATGGATCATTTGAACCCAAAGACAGTTTGATCCAGAAAATTTAATTGTACGTGAATCAACCTTAACCTAACACTCAGTCTAGGGCCAAAAGCCAAGATCCACATCAGAGGGCTATCAATACTGGAATTGTGGGCTGGACACACGGTCTGTGATAGAGCACATGCCTTGTTGCTCAAGGCCCTGGATTCAATCCTCAACATCAAAAAACCCCAAACAAAACAAAAAACTAGAATTGTGTGCTGAACCAGTACATACTTTTATAATTGGGATGTTATTTGGCTATTTGTCATTGTTTTCTTGAGAATAAGGGAAAACATGTTTTCATCATTCTTTCAGTCTTCTTCCACCAAAAGACATTACTGTGTCTTGTGTATTCACTACTAATCCTTATTGTTTTGTTGTTGTTGTTTTCCTATAATCATTGATGTTTGACTAAATCCTTGTTGATGGAATAAATAAAGAGCAAACTCCTGCTTTCATGTCCTGTAATATAGGGAGCTTCTTTGTCAGAATACATTTGAAGAAAGACATTTATGAAAGGGTTTTATAGCAAAAAAGAGAAGGCAGGAAGGAGGGAGGGAGGAAAGGAGGGAATAAGAGAAGAGAGAGGGAAGGGAGGGATGGAGGGAGGGAGGGAATATAGGGGATGGAGAGGAAGGAGGAAGGTTGGCTTGAAAACTATTTATGTATGCAACTTGATCCCTTCCAGTTTTCAGGTATTTTCTGGGAAAAGCTTGTCTCCTTACTACAGTCCACGGATAGTTTAATTGTGGATAGGTTAGTTCAAGGCTATTTGGAAGGGCTTTAGACTTACTTCTTGGCCAGAACAGTGGGGATCTTGCCCTGGCACTTAACAACTTTTAGATACAGCTAACTATACAACTATCTCAAAGAACAGCAGCTAAGAGCATTTGAGCTGGTGGAGTGGCTCAAGTGGTACAGTGCTGCCTACCAAGTGTGAGGCCCTGAGTTCAAGCCCCAGTACTGCAAAATAGAAGAAGGAGAATAGAGAAGGGAGAAGGAGGAGGAGAAGGAAGGAGAAGAAGAAGAAGGAGGAGGAGGAGGGGGTAAGGGGAGAGGGAGGAGGAGAAAAGAAGAAGAAGAAGAAGAAGCATTTGAGAAAAAGCTAAACCTTACAGTAACTTTTAGCTTACATTTTGGTTAAGCCAGCTGGAACCTAATGGTTTTTGAAATTAATAGGAAAGAACAGGCACCAGAAGGAACTCTATAAACCATAAGCCCAGTTTTATCTCCATAGCTGTGTGGTTGTCTTAACTCTAAATAAATTTTTAAAAAATCAAAGTTAAAAGTCAACACTTCCCTACAGTAGATCAGATCAAATTAGATTAGAACCCCTAGTGTCTGGCTGTACGGTCTTGAATCAACTCTAGGGTCTGTTGCTGGAGAGAGATCATCTATTTGGAGTAGATAAAGCATTGGAGGCCAAATTCCTGACGAGCTTCAAACAGAAATATAGCTAGGTCACTAAAGGGAATGGAATAGAAAAGTAATGGTTCATAAGAACATTTTCCATCTGTTTTCCTAAATACAAACCTAAATCATCCCGATTTCAGTCTCCTGTTCCATAGTACCTCATACTTCTTTCCTGCAGACAGCAGGAGGAAAAATTCTCATTTTAACTGCCATAGTAAACAGTAAAAGTTTTGCACCCCAACCCTGAAACTCTCCCAGTCCTGACGTAGCCCAACTTCACTAAGACTTATAAAACCCTGAGTTCTGGTAAAGAAAACTATAACCTTTCAAAAATGTTATTGACCTAATGCTGCTTTTTTTTTTTGTGTGGTACTGGGGTTTGAACTCAGGGCCTCAAACTTTAGCTAGACAGGTACCATACCACTTGAGCCACTTCACCATCCCAGGGCTTTGTGCTTGAAAAGCAAGTGCTCTACCACTTGAGCTACACCTCCAATCCATTTTGGTCTGGTTATTTTGGAGATAGGGTCTTGAGAACTATTTCCCTGAGCTGGCCTTGAACCCCAATCCTCCTGATCTCAGCCTCCCAAGTAGCTGCATGAGCCACCTGGTGCCCAACCCTAATGCTACTCTTAATCTGGTGTTATCACCTGTCCATTCAAATCTATCACCCCCTTCTGTGTCAAATCCATTTTAGAGATACAGAGCCTAAAACAAAGCCTTACATTATGTGAAGATAATGGAGGAGGCCGGGCATGATTGTGCACACTGTAACCTCACCACTTGGGGAAGACTGAGACAAGAGGATCTCAAGTTCCAGGCCAGCTGGGTTATATAGTTCTAGGCCAGGTTGAGCTACATAGCAAGACCCCCATCTCAAAAAGAAACAAAAAAAGGGCTGGGTGCCTGTGGCTTATGTCTGTAATCCTTGCTGTTCAGGAGGCAGAGATCAGGAACCCAGTGTGGGCAAAATAGTTTGAGAGACCCTATCTCAAAAAAAACGATCACAGATCACAAAAAAGGGCTGGAGGAGTGGCTCAAGGTATAGGCCCTGAGTTCAAATCCCAGTACTGAAAAAAAAAGAAAAACAAAAAAAGAGCGAGCTGGCAGAATGGCTCAAGTGGTACAGCCTCTGCTTAGCAAGCAGGAGGCCCTAAATTCAAACTCTAGTACTGCTAAAAAGAAAGAAAAACAACAACTAAGGAATCCTGCTGAAGTCAGACTCCCAAGATAAGGGTGGGTTGTTTCAGCCTCTGGAACATTTCTTTTCTACCTACAAAAGCTAAGTCTGCCATACAAGCTTTCCTTCATTAGACTGCAGTCTCCCTAAAATTGACAGGAAATCTGTTTTCATTGTAAATCAGTTTTTAAGTTTTTTGTATTAGCATATATTAATATTAGAAGGGGTTTCATTGTGATAATTCCATTCATGTGTACTGTGTACCTTGAACAAGTTTACCCTCTCCCCCTTTTTCATAGCGTTTGGCAGGTTTCATTATGCTTTTTGTGTGTGGCAGGACTGAGGTTCGAACTCAGTACTTGCCTCACACTTGCTAGGCGAGCACTCTACCACTTGAGCCACTCCACCAGCCCTGTTACACTGTCTTCATAAGTATGTATGCAGCATATCCTTTCCTTTCCCTCCTCCCTCCTAGACAATCCCCTATATACATTCATCTGACAGGAAATCTTTGATTGTACTTACTTGTAGCTTTAATTGGGCCCTTTAACAAAGCTCCAATTCACATTTGTAATAGGTTTCTGGCCAGGACTAGTTAAAAGCACAAACCCAGTAAGCTAAAAGTTAAATTCCTGCAAAAATTTTATTAGGTAATCATGGAAAGCTGCCATTCAAAAACTGCTTTTCCTTTTAAGAACATCTTTTTAGTCTTTTGAGCTGGACAATAGTGGCTCAACACCTGTAATCCTAACTGCCTGGGAAGCTGAGATTGAAAGGATCAAGGTTCCAGACAAGCCCAGGCAAATAGTTGGAGAGACCCCATCTCCAAAATAACCAGAGCAAAATTGACTGGAAATGTGGCTTGTAGAGCACCTGCTTTGCAAGTATGAAGGCCTGAGTTCAAACCCCAGTCCCACCAAAAATATGGGAGTGGCAGTATAATTGAGCCCCAGCACCAAAGAATAACCAGCTTTATGAGCTAGCCATGGTGATGCAGCCATCTAATCCCTACCAGGGAGATTGAGGCAGGATTGCAGATTATAAACCAGTTTGGCTACAGTCTCAAAAGGAGCACCAGGGCTGGGTGCTGGCTCAAGTAGTATAGCACCTGCTTAGCAAGAACTTAGCCCTAAATTCAAACCCCAGTTACCACCAAGTAAAAAGCACTGAAATGGTGAATCCCACGGAAACTTGCAGGACTCACCCCCACCAACCTGGTCACCTATCAAATGATAGGCCCTATTCATCCCTATGTTATTTGAACAAACTGAAGTTCACACACATAAACATCTCAAACAGATTTATTTTTTAAAGGAATGGATTAAGGGAAAAAAAAACATGGGGCACAGAAGTATGGAATAGAAAATAAATACAAACATAAGCTGTTTTACTAATTGTTTTATAACCACAACAAACTAGTACAGAGAAATGCCCTGTACAAAACACAATAAAGGTTCAAAGATCGAGGTGTTCCCTTAGCAAGGCTGAAGATTTCAGTCTCTGGTATTTGGAATTTATGCTGCAGTCCTTGTTTTTGGATGGATCACTGGGTTTGTGGCACAGTCCATGCTATTAACCAGATTTGAACAGAAGAATGGCCACTTGACCCAGGTAGAAGTAGATGAAGTGTTTGGTTTCATGTGTCACATAACTACCGAAGTTCCTCCCCACGATGCAGTGCCAGGTGGGGTTGTACTTCTTGTCAAACTCCTGGGAAAGAAAACAAAACACTAGAATTTTAGCGTTAAACCAGAACAGCTCATTTCCTGGATAAGTTGGCGCCTGTATGAACACAAAGGAGGAACACTGGCATCTGCAAATTCTTAGAATGAAAGAATGTTCCCCAACTCCAAGTCGCCTACATAGTGCATTAATGCAAACATGCTTGCAGTCTGAGCTAAGATAGAGATGGGGACTGAGGTCAAAGGCAGAAAGGTCAGCCTCAAAGACAGGGCACTTTGTTGTTACGGTTATTATACCTTCCTACCTTCTATATTCTTTGCTGACAGCAAGAAATACCAACAGTCGGGAGTTTACCATGTTCTTCTGGATAAAAAACTAAATTAACCTTCTACACTATTGCCATAGACCCAAAAATCAAAGATGCACTCCTGCACTGCTATATACTTCCACAAGGTAAAAGCTTCAATTACCACCTAAACCAAACTACTACAGCTCAAAATTGTGATTTAAGGAGACAAGCCCCTTAAAGGCTGGCCCAGCTTTCCCCACCTATCCTAACGGTGCTGACCTATGACTTGGTCTTCAAGGTTAGCGAATTAAGAGTACCTCGTCCCTGCTTTCCTGCACACTAGGTTAGTGTGCAGGCAGGGGCCGAAGATGATCTCTACCCACGCAGACTTTTTAAGGGGAGTATGTTTTTTTTCTTACAAGCCAGACGCACGCGCTGCTGCGTTTGTCAAGCAAGGTGCTCATTTCCGTGCCACCCAAGCCATTCCTCGCCCCTTCTGCACTGGAGCCCTCCCACGACTTCGGCTGGCAGCTTCCCTGCTTCCAGCAAACCCAGCTCGGGAGGTCGCCGTCCTTGCCAGCGTTCTACCAAGTGCGGCTCCCGAGCCCCCAGCCACCGCCGCCGCCCACGTCCCCGGCTCCCCGCGCCCGGGGAGACGCCCCCGCAGCCCCTCCGGAGGCGCAGATGGAGCCTCGGCGCGGGAGCCGAGGGGCGCCGCTCGCTGCTTCCCAGGCCTGGAAACCGTTGCTAGGTGGCGCTTTCCCCCGTGGAGGGGGCTTTTAAAAACACACTGAAAAAACTTCGTGCGCCGAGGGTCCCGCCTGCCCGAGAAGGGCGCAAAATTCATCTGCGTCCCTTCTAGAAAGCTCTACGCCCCAGGCCGCCCTGCGCGCCCCAGCCTCCGCCGGGCGCCCAGGGGACGCGGAGGAGGAGGAGGAGGAGGAGAACCAAGTCCGACTCGAGCCCCTCCTCACCTTCTTGATGTGGGCCGCAATGTCCTTTTCTATGTTATACTTCTCCAACGCCTGCGTAGCGCACTCCACCGAGTCCTGTTGCATCTCTTCCGACATGTCCGCGTTTTTGATCACCGCCTTTCGGTCGCACATGGTTACCTGGGGGGCAAGGCCCAGGCAAGGGGTGAGGGGTCCGGGTGTGGGCTGCGCCTCCGCGACGCCATCTCCCCAAGCCCGGCCCGCGCTATCCCGGGACGACGCCCCCCACCCACTTCTCAGGAGACGCAGGTCGCAAGAGCCACACGAGAGGGGCAAATACCGAGCGGGGAGCGAGGCCGGGTCCCGAAGACCCCCGGGTTTCTCACCGTGGAGCAGGAGCTGGCCGACTGCAACGGTCTCCGGGGGGAGGTGCTGGCGGGGCTCAGACCCTAGAAGAGACGCAGCCGCTACAGAAGCCGTGGCGCATCTAAGCCTCCCCACGCCAGGCGCCGCCGCCTAATGCCTAGGCCCCGCCCTGCTCCGGCAGGCCACGCCCCCTTAGTCCATCCCTATTGGCTTAACGCAGCCCCCGGAATTCTTCCATTGGTTTGTAGACTCAATGGTTCCCTCAGGATCTTTCTCCTGCATTTTGTTGCAGACCACAATGCACCGCTCACGGCGTCGGTTGCCCCGGCAATGGGCCGCAAGCGTTTAGGCCCACACCCAGAAGGTGGAGCCCGGATTGGGTCTCGAGGACCACCCAGTTGTCTGGAGGATGAGAAGGGAGTTTCTGCTCACATCAAGGAAAGGGATCCTCAATCTCCTGATGTCCCAGAGTGTGCTCTCTCTCGAGCTACAACCTGAAGAAGATGGGTGGCCACCTTCCCACGTAACTCCCGGGTCAGAAGGATTTATAGACCATACTGGTGCCCTATCCTTTCACTGAGATGTGTAGCAGGGCCGGCTGCAAGAGCAAGCCACCAATGCAGACCATAACTCGGTTTAATGCTCTGCTATCTCATTATTGAAATTCTTTTTTTTTAGTCAGGATCTTGCTGTATATTCCAAGCAGGCCTGGAACCCACTATGTAGCCCAAGTACTGGGATTACAGTTAGGCACCACCACACCATGACTGCCCTGATGTTTATTTTCCACTGGATCCCTGTGTAGCCAGTCCTGCTGTGAAATATTTGTATGGGTGGGATAGCCTCAGGATTAAAGGAGGGATGGAGGAAGAAAGTTCCCTTCTACAGTGAGGAATTATCCCTAAATATGGGGGTCTCTCTGCCAGACAATGCACACCTCAAGAGAGTGGGGGCTCTGGTAAATTTAGGAGTGTTGATCCCTAGGGTATGTACAGGGTGGGGCTTCTTGCTCAGGTAAGGGAGTCTGTCTTATATGGGAAAGTTTCTTGGTTGGGATTTATATCTAGGTAGGAGTATCCTAACAGACAAGAAGGTGGCCCTCAGAGGTGTCTCCTCTGACTTAGGAAAACTGATCACTAAATGGTTACAGAAACAAACAAGGTTTTGGGCTAGGGATATAGCTCAATGATAGAGCTCTTGCCTAGCTTGCACTAGGCAGTGAATTTGATACCCAACACTGCAAAAAATAAAACAATCAATGGGAAGAGAGGTCTTAGGGGCAAAGTTAGACGTTGATTTAAAATGCAGCACTGTTTGAACTTCTGTGGGTTTTTTGTTTGTTTTGTTTACTTTTTAAATTTTATTTTATTGTTTTTACATTTACTTACATGTGTATACATTGTTTTGGCTACCTCTCCTCTCCCCCCGAACCTCAGTGTTTTGTTTTTTAATATAGAAAAGCAAACAATATAAAAGGAAACCACTTGATAGGCTTGTGGGAGTATTAATATTTTTGAACTTCCTTAAATGAGTTTCAGGTTAATCTTGGGGTTTTGTTTTGTTTGGGTGATACTAGGGTTTGAACTCAGGGCTATCTGCTTGCTAGGCAGACACTCTACCATTTGAGCCACACTTCTAGCTCAGATTATTCATATAACCAGAAGTTTTATATTTACGTGTTTCTCCTGACCACCTGCTCTCATTAATCCAGAGCCCCTTACAATAATTTGACCAAACCAATTTGACCAACTACAAAGAGCAAAAGATAGGAATAATGAGAACTTCCTCAGGTATGATGTTTATGTGTGTCAATTAAATCAAATTAAAAGGTTTTTCTTTTCCAACTCCACATTTCTAATGATGAGATCAGAGATTTGAGGAGTTAATATTTCTATATGGTGTCTGTTTTGAGGAAGAAGTAGGGTTGACAAGTGAGGCTGGGCTGCTGCTTTTACCTAGCTTGGGCCTATGGTTCAGAGCTATAGAATCTCTTGATAGTGCCAGGACCTGAATTTCTCTTGAGTCATACATACACACATATACATAGATAGAATTTATGTATCCTGTAGGATATAGATACCTCTATGTCCTATCTATAGATCTGTCTGTCTACCTGTCTGTATCTATTCCTCTGATCTGTAGCTTGGCCAGCTTTGCCTTGATTGAATAAAAGACCTGAGAGTATTTGAACTGGTTGAGGCTGGAGCTGTAGTCCAGTGGTACAACACTTCTGTAGCATGTGGAAGGACCTGAGTTTGTCCTAGACTGCAAAATAAATGAGTAAAAATAAAACCCAAAGGGCACAGGCATGATGGGAAAAAAAAAGCCCATAATACATGTTTGTTTATTTGTTCGATTTTGGCAGTACTAGGATTTGTTCTTGGCTGCTAGGCAGGTGCTTTACTGCTTGAGCCAATCCTCCAGCCCCACAATGTAATATGAATAGCCGCTGTTTACTGAGTAGTTGCTGACCACCGAGTTCAGCACTTGCAGTCATGGTCTCACTTATCCAGGAAAGTTGTGTCTGGGACCACTCCCCTTTCCTCCTACCTCTGGGCAAAGCTGTTTCCTCATTTAGATTTCAGCTCAACTGTTGCCTTCCTGAACTCCCCACTGTATTTGCTCCCATCACCACCCTCCAGTTACTCTCTACAGCACTTTTATTTCCTCCATCAGTTGCCTCATTTATTCCTTCAGAGGAAATAATCTCATGTATTCACTTGTTTGGCTGTTGTGTATCTGTCCCTGCCTGTTTTGTTCACTGTTCCATTTGCAGCATCAAATTCAATGTCTGGCATGTAGTAGTACTCAGTAAATATGCATTGAATTTTAAAACCAGTTATTATGTCCCTGTTTTACAGTTTGAAAAATTGATTTTTTTCCCCCAAAGACATGCTGCTAACAAATGAGTAAGTTCTAGGTCTAGAGGACCCTAAAGTCCATTCTCTAAACCTCAGGACTACAGTCACAAATTTAGCTGAGTAGACTAGATAGTTGACCTTTTTCTTATTTATATTTTGAAGAAGAGGAGTTTGAAATGGAATGATGGAATGTTAAGGTATTCTAAAGGTAGCAGGGTTTTGTTTAGTAAATGATGGGTTTCTCTCTGTGTGTGGCACCTGCCCTTCCCTGGCATCACCTGCGTTTGCTCTGCTCATCTCATCCAGCTCTCAGCCTGAATTATTTTCTTGAAATGTGAAAGAAGGGTGCTATCACAAACCAGTGCCTTTCTGGCCTGTGTTTATCCCTAGGGACCCTTTGAAGGGTTTGGTTTCTGGGAGCCAAAAACCTCTCTGCCATCTCCATTCCTTTCACATTCATTTATACAGAATTGGCTCATTGGTGTCTAGCTGTTCCTCGTGAGACAGACAACAAATATCCCAATCACCAGGGAAAAATACGGGCAACATTTGGATGCTTCAAATACACACCTAGAATAAGTTGCAGCCCCATCCTCAAGAATCTTATAGTTAACAGTAAACTAATCTTCTAATAGCATAGATTTGGAATTTGAAGGGATTTTAGAAACACAGGGGCCCAGAAGGAAACATTAATGGGTGAGGCAAGCCCAGGCACCTGTGGCTCATGCCTGTAATCCTAGCTACTCAGGAGATGAAGAGAATCATGGTTTAAAGCCAGCCCAGGCAAATAGTTTGAGACCCCATATCTCAAAAAAAACCATCACAAAAAAGGGGCTGGTGGAGGTGGAGTGGCTTCAGGTGTAGGCCCTGAGTTCAAGTCCCACCCCCACAAAATGAGTGAGCCAACATAGATGGCACAATAAGGAGTGTAGAGAAGCCCCTTTAAACTACCTTGGTGGCATACATCTATAATCCCAGCATTCAGGAAGATTTTAAGTTTGAATTCAGATTGGGCTACATGTGGAGAGAGACCCTGTCTCTAAAAACCAAAACCAAGCCCAGCTACATGAGAAGCATAACTAGGATTGTGGGATAGGTTGGCAGGGCATAAAGGCAAGATCCTTTTCGAAAAACACCTAAAATCGAAAAGGGCTGGAGGCATGGCTGCAGTGGTAGAGGGAACTGCCTGGCAAGCTCAAGACCCTGAGTTCAAACCCCAAAAGGGGAACGAGGAGGGACAAGTCCCTTCAAAGTAGGAGGCAGATGTTGCTGCTTCAGAATGCTGGTCCAGGGCTGGGGACGTAGCTCAGTAGTTTAGTGTTTGCCTAGTATGCACAAGGTCCTGGGTTTGATCACCAGTACCACCAAAAAATTAAAAAGAATCCTGACCCAGTCAGGTGCCAGTAGTACACACCTGTAATCCTAGTTACTTGGGAAGCTGAGATTGAGGGACTTCTGATTGTGGTTCGAGACCAGTCTGGGCAAATAGTTCAAGAGACCCCATCTCCAAAATAACCAGAGCAAAATGGACTGGAGGTGTGTCTCAAGTGGTAGAGTACCTACTTTACAAAGCAGGAAGTCCTGAGTTCAAACTCCACTTCCACCAAAAAAAAAGAAAAAGGAAAAAAAAAAGAAAAGAAAAAGAACACTGGCCCAGTGTTGCTAGTTCATCTCATTTCAAAGAAAGAACAGTAATCTGGATTATTTTCATAGAAAATATCCTATGAAACATTTTATAATGTTTTAAAATGTTTATAACATTTTAAAATGTTGGGGATGGGGGTGTGGCTTAAGTGGTAGAGCATCTGCTTAGCAAGCCCAAGGCTCTGAGTTCTAACCCCAGTACCACAAAAATAAGTAAATACTTCAATTTGCCCAATGCTGGTGGGTCACACCTGTAATCCTAGCTATTTGAGAGGTTGAGATATGGAGGACTGGGGTTTGAGACCAGCCGGGGCAGATGTTTTTGAGACCCCATCTCCAAAACAACCAGAGCAAAATGGACTGAAGGTGTGATTCAAGAGGTAGAACACCTGCTTTGCAAGTGCAAAACCCTGAGTTCAAACCTCAGTCCCACCAAAAAAATAAAATATTGGTTACAAGTACATTTATTAAAACACTGCATGATCTAAATATGACCTATGGGCTCCATTTTGCAACCTCTTACTCAGTTTGACCCCAAGTCCAGTGCTTTTTCCTTCTCATCAGACAGGTTGGCTTAT